CTAACAAGATTAGCCTCATGTTCAGAACAATACCGAATAACGCTTTTAATTTCCTGTGCTATGCAACGTCTTAATTATCAAGCCCACTGTTAAAAATGTCACTGCTGGTACGAAACAAAAGGCGTCACGTCGGGCTCTATTAGTATCTGCGAACCAGCTCTCAGGCCCTCATACGTTGATCACATCACTACACCACCCTTTTAGCTTCAGGCTCACGGCCAACATAGTGCTGTTTTTTGACGAGTACTTCATCATGCCACTGCTTGCTCATCCACTGCCCGATTCTAATATTTCGGTGCTATAAAGCATGTGAAGCAGCCAAGGACGTCAAACAATTGTGGGTGGTATTTGTAGATTCACCGTCAAGAGTAAAATGCTACTGCTTAGTTCGACCCCGTGCACATCTTCTATATTTTTCTGCAACAAAAGAATATTTTCTGCTGATTCTATCAGCAATTTACAATATTCTAGCACGTCTATTGCAACAACAGTTTCGAAGTACCACGTGCTAGGACAAGCAGGGCGTTTTATAAATGGGAGACAGCTTCAAACCGCTAACTCATGGCGCAACTCAAATTTTTCAATGACTAATAGTAATTACCATCATCATCAGCTTGATCACACCCACTTTAAGACAAAGGCCTTTCCCATGTTCCGTCTGTCAAGTCGGTTCTGTGCCTTCTGCTACCACTGATTGATATGTAGGGTTTAACGTCCCAAAAGTACCATATGATTATCAGAGACGCCTAGGCGAGAACTCTAGAAATTTCAATCACCTGGGGTTCTTTACGTGCACCCCAAATCTGAGCACACGGGCCTACAACATTTCCACCTCCATCTGAAATGCAGCCGCCGCAGCCGGGATTCGATCCTGCAACCTGCGGGTCAGCAGCCGAGTACCTTAGCCACTAGACCACCGCGACGGGGGTCGCTGCTGCCACTTTATAGCCGCAAACATCCTAGTCTCAACTGCCCATCTAGCTTTCTGTCTCCCCTTCATCCACTTGCCTTCTCTGAGTATCAAGTCAGTTACCCATAATGATAAGCGGATACCCTGCCTTCGCACTACGTGCCCAGCCCATGTCCATTTCTTCTTCTTGATTTCAACTAAGATCTCCTCAACTTCGACGTGTTCCCTGACCCACCCTACTCTCTTCATGTTTCTTGAGTTACTCTTATCATTTTCTATTTGAATGGTCGCTGCGTCGTCCTCAATTTAATAAGAACCCCCTTTGTAGACCTCACGTTTGTGCTGCGTAGGTAAGTACCGCAAGAAGCAGCTGTTATGTTCGCAATGCCCATGGCCTATAGGAGGTGCGCCATGCAATCAAAGATGGCTGTGGAAGGATGCTCAACTCATAAACTCGCATAAGAAAAGATAGGACGCATGGACGTGCTTCCCATGCCACTTTCACCGGATGAACTCTTGATTATCAAGTGATTGTATACATCAATGCAAAGTACTTTCCCAACCGATAGGAACTGCTGAATGTTCGCTGCCTCATTTCTTGCCGCAATGCGAAGGGCGGTGGTGTCAGCTGATGGACCAAGTATCAACGATACTTTGCTTAATCCTATGAGTGGTAGAGAAAACTGCGCGAAATAAAACTCACGAATGAACTGAACAGCACTCCGAGATAATAGGTGCTCATCTCGCCTGACGAATTGGCCACATTAGAGGGCCACCAGCGAGTAGCGCGCCGTCGTTGCTGCCCAGGACCAAATGTTTAACGTAGCGATGGTTTGCAAACATGTTTCGCCTTCGTCATAATTTGTGATTTCAGCATCATGCAGCTGCTTCTTCAATGGAACACAAGCATTGAACTTCCCATTAAGTAGCGCTTGTGCCATGGCCATGATCAGAAGGTAAGAGTACGCCATTGCCTGCCCTCGGATCTTGCAAGTTTCATCAGCGCGATCCAAACAAGGATATCGACACGCGAACGCTTTTCGCAACGTGAAAACTGCGAAAATTTGTCGACCAACAACGTCCTTCGGACGGCATCGGTGGAGGTCAGGAGAAGTTAGCGTGGGCTGTATTCGTAACTGCATAGTTTATTGCTTTAAGCATTTCGCTTCGCCGGTCAAGCTTGAGCGTGTTCTCGGCAAGCGACGCTTTTTAATATCCGCTATACTTGAGATAAATTCAATGGTAAAGAAAAAACTAGGCTTTTAGTTTGAGCTTTCTGAAGAATATTACACAATAAATACAACCAAAGTTACTTCTGAGCGGGAAAAAACATTGGCGCATGACGAGACGTGAAGTGCAACTCTCTGTTTGTGGGCTAGCAGCTGATCGTTCATTGTCGCTGTCACTTTCAGGGCATTGACAACCATCTACGTCCAGTAAAAAATCCTCGGCGTCAAGACGGTTTCTTTGAACATCACTGCTGAAAGTAATCTGAAGAATTCTCTCCGCCAAACTACTTCGATAGTACCAACAACGCGTCATTCATCACTCATAACACCCACATGGTGTCACACACCACATTTATTGGAGGGCGATCATTTTACTCCGATGTCTGGCAAAAAAACATTCTTGCAGTATGCTGCCATCTATCAACGAACATCAAAAACAAGCGGTGCAACGTAGGCCAAGGTTTAGAAACGCAAATCGTGATTATGCGCTACTTTCAGCGTAAAATGACTGTTATGGAATTCATGCACTACAAAAGCATTGACGAATGTTATACTCTAGTAAAATGAACTGAGTTTTAATTGAAATAGTCAGACGATAGCATTTAACTATTCAAAGTGGCTGCTGAAAATTTCGCGAAGCTGATGTGTGTGCATTGTGGATTATAATCCAAAGCGCGAGTTGCCATGTATATTCAAAAAAACTTTGCGTCTCACAAGAATTAATCCGATTTATCGTGTCGCGGATGGTCTGGTATATCCCCTCGTGCACGAAACATACAAGGTGCTTTGTGTTCGTTTCTTGCTAACGCATTCACACTGCCGCTAGCACCGCCGAACTAGGGAGCATTGGGAAAGTCTGCCTACTGATTATCCTTGAGAGAACGCTCCTGAATTCCGCTAGGCGGTGCGATAGTCTATGAACATTGCAAATAGTTTTCTAATAGTGTACATGAAATGCTACAGTTAAGAAAAGGAATCGAATAAAGTGGAATATAAAACAAAACGTGATTTGATTACTTCTAACACACCCAATGACTGTGAGTGCTGGACATATAGTGGTTCCTTTATTCGTAATATAAATGCAAACACATTGTACAGCTGATGCCACCTGTGTTTTATAGCGAAAAAAAAACCAGTGAAGCCTCTCAACGGCACGACCTTTCACAGGGCAGTCATATCCCTCGTTCATACTCGCGTCAATGGCTTCATTGTCCTAGAATTGTGTAATTCAGTTTGGACATGTGTGTCTGTTTGTTTAATATAGAAGTGTTGGGCTTCCCCATGATTTGAGTGACATCCTTCCGTCGTGAAAATGACATTTTATAATCGCATTAGAAGACAAAAAAAAACAGGGCCGCCAACGGGAGTCCGACTCACTATCTCTGGGTTGTTGACAACAGTTGCAGCGCACCCTATTCATGGTGCCACGGACACAAACTTCGGAGGCTTTAAGAAAACAACTTTTATATCTACCACTGCCCCCTCAGAGTAATCTTGGTAAAGCGTACTAATGTATCATGACCGTGAAATGCACGATTAGCTCTCTCAACGCGTCGTTTTTACACGTCTACGGTGTGTTTTACGCGTCTACGGTGTGTGTAAAACACAGCGTTTTTACGGTGTGTTTCTAATGAAAGAAGTGCAATTGTGTCAACGCCTTCACACACTGGTAGGTGGCGACTTTATCAAAAGCATCTCCGCAGCTCATAGCATCCGTCCTTACCAAACATACATCTGCAACGCATCGCGTAACGCGCGTGCTTCGCCTGGATCATGTAGTCTGGATCTAACTCTACGTACTCTTATTGTGCTTCGCCTGCTCTCGCCACGCAAAAAGTCGTGACCAGCCAACAAAGAGAGCAAAACGTGCGTTCAGTTTCCGTCTACTCACGCAGTCTAGTTCAAGAGCTCTAAGATGCCGCAAGTGAGGAACCTTAGCTCAAGTTTGAAGTACAATCAGTGATGTCTTTGAGGCTGTCACATCGCTTTTTTGGTTATTTTTCTAATGTTGCTGCTAGAAGCATCCATGGCTACAGAGGCATGTTTAGGCATTAATCAATCGTAAATCACGGACGTTAGTCCTCGGGATGCAAATGCATCACTCATTGTTAACTTAGATGCGTTTACAAAAAACGGTGCTTCAGCTGTTGGACAACAAAACGCTAATATCAATGCGCCGTAAGCAGTAAACTACTTCTGTGAGGAGTCTTTTTACTTTCATGATATACTGATTTCTATTACTGAGGGATGAACCATGCATTTTAATGTTGTTTTCTGATATCACCCAAAAGTGACTTAATTTTAGTGCTCGTAGCGTTATAGGTACACTAATAGCGTCCTGTATTGTACATTCACTGCCCTAATAAGGAGAAGGTTATAGTTAAGCTCAAAAATATATCTTTCTCGGTATTGGTAATTACTGTCTCATTAAGAATGAACATCTAATTTCATATACCTTCAACTCCAAAATTTCATCATTCCTGTCATGACGAACTATAGGCTCAATTAGTTACATGCATGCTACAATCGCATTTTGCGAAATTGTGATCTTATACACATTACGTCGACTTTTGTCTTCCATACGTCTGCTATTCTCGCATTTGGTTACCGACGTCAGAGAGCTTAGGTAGCACTAGTGCTTTTAGTTCATGACGTGGCATTCAATGATTACGTGGTGTTCCTTTTTGGCTATTCCTTCAGCGCTTCTGTTCACTAATTACAAGATTGCCTTCCTCAATTTCAGTGTTAAACACAAGGCGCAATGCATCATGTTTTGTCGGGCACGTCATATGTCATGATGAAAAGTTAACTGAGCTCAAGGTTAAACGAGATGAAGGTAAATCTTTATTGCGGACTAAATTCACGGGATGAGACCGCTTATATAGTGCATGCAGTGATGTGCATACTGCTTTATATGCTCATTAACCTATACCTGGTGAGTATGACACCCGCTTTCCCTTTGTTATAGGCGTCTTTAAAAAACACACCAACTTAAATTTAGTTCTTGTGAGTTTCATCTACAGTGTCGTTTTTTGAACAATTCCGCGCTTGTCCAACTTAAAAAATACGCTTACTTCCTACTCAAGTTCCTATTCTTGTGGGGCTTCATACCAGTGTGAGAATGATGGCATGTGTTTTTAATAAACACACAAAGACAAGCTTCAAGTTTTCAGACCCTACGCGCGTATCTCCAACAATTAAAAATATTCTTCTGTTAAATTCCACACGAACACTCTAAATTCTGGTCCTAAACGATTTTTTTTATTTTTTCATTCATATAGCGCGCTTCTTAACTTTTTGTCTTGCATACTCATTGATGCTTAGAGGAAACGTAACAATTTAAATTTTTTATATGAACCCTTGTAGATATTTTAGTTATATGTTTAATATAGGCGTATTTCGTGCTCCTTCCGCACCAGACGCTTGTCACACTATTATGTAAGAAGAAGTGAAGTAGCAGTGAGCAAAGCAGAACTAAAATATAGGACTATATTGTGGCATCACGTGGCAGAAGAAAAATAAATAGCAAAGGCACTCTAGCTACCAGGTTCGAGAGTTTTATGTGAATGAACCTTTTTAGGAACATTGGCATTTCACAGTGTCAAATAACAGCATGGGCGCGCACTTGCGTTTCACCTTGTTCTTTTTTTCTTTTTTTGGCTTGTTGAAGATGAGGGGGGGGGGAAGCAACAAAAAGGAAGAAGGCAGGGAGGTTAACCAGAAAGACATCCGGTTGGCTACCCTACACTGGGGGATAAAGGAAGGGGACAAGAAAGACGAGAAAGAGGGAAGAGAGGGAAAAAAGGGGGTGGGGGAGAGACTGACAGTAATTTCACTGCAGCGTGTAGAACTCTACCGCATGTCAGAGGCGTTCACACAAGCCTGTCTTTCTCAGGAAACGCAGCAGGGCTTTCACTGCCTTGTGGGCTGTCGAGGCATGTGTACGTTGCTGTAATAGCACCTGCACAGAAAGAGGCCGATCATCCAGTCGCCGCATCGCGTTGGCAAGTACTTGTCTCTCTGAGGCAAATCGAGGACAATGACACAGCAGGTGTTCGATATTTTCGTCGGTGCCGCAAACATCGCACGCCGCACTGTTAGTAATTCTGATTAACGTGGTATAAGCTTTCGTGAAAGCAACTCCCAGCCAAAGGCGATAGAGAAGCGAAGCTTCACGTCGATGTAGGCCGGGTGGAGGCCGGAGTTGTAGTGAAGGGTCGAGCTCGTGCAGTCGTGTACGTCGTGTGCTTGGTGTGTTCCACTCAGTCAGTGTGAGACTGCGGGCTAGTTGACGAATCTGCCTCGCCGCATCCGCTCTTGAAAGCGGTACCGGAACGCTGTTCGCTTCTTTATGTGACGTGCGAGCAGCATGATCTGCAGAATCATTGCCGCCTATACCACTATGCCCAGGTAACCACTGAAACACGATGTCATGGCCTTTTTGTATTAACAGGTGGTGAAGTTTCACGGTTTGGTAGGTCAACTGGTCGTGGCATCCGCGTCGGAGAACTGATATCAGGCACTGTAACGCTGGTTTTGAGTCAGAAAACACAGCCCATTTACCTGGTCTTTCTTCTGAATTGATGTGTTCCAGTGCATTGCGAAGAGCCTCGAGTTCTGCCGTCGTTGAACTTGTCACATGTGAAGTCTTAAAACACCGAGTTATCCCTTGTGATGGTATAACCACTGCTCCACCTGAACTAGACAGCGTAGTAGAGCCATTCGTGTAAATGTGCACGTGGTTACTGTAGTTTTCTTCCAGTAGGAATAGACTCAGTTGTTTCAGGGCATGTGTCGGTAAGTCCGATTTTCTCCTCATTCCTGGAATCATTAAGTGAACTCGCGGCCGGCTCAAGCTCCAAGGAGGAAGCAGTGGCTTTGATGCAGGTGCGTATGTCTCAGCAAACGATGAACGATGCTTGGAGACAATAGTGCCGTATGTCGTGCGGGGCCTTTCAGCAGCTAGGCTCGCCAGGTGGTGAGAAGGGGTCCTGGCATAATGCCTGAGGTGCATGCGCATTGTTTCGGTAATATTATGCGTATTTATCGAGTGATCTTGAGCGATGGCAATGGTTTCAGCCGTTGAAGCACTGCGGGGTATTCCAAGGCATATCTTAAGTGCTTGGGCTTGAATGCTCTGAATTGCGCGCAGGTTGGTCTTGCCGGTGTTAGACATTGCAGGTAAGCTGTACCGTAAGAATCCGATAAACAGCACTCTGTACAGTTGTAGCATGGATGGTATAGGCACTCCCCAATTTTTTCCTGCAAGGAATTTGAGCATGTGGCATGTTGCGATTAGCCGCTTTTTCGCATAGTTCACGTGTGGAGTCCACGACAGGTTTCTATCTACTATGACTCCCAAGAACCTGTGGCTTCTCCTGAACGATATGTATTCTTCATTAATCGATATGCTGTAAGCAGACATTGGTTTCCGCGTGAACGCTACCACTGCACATTTTCCGCAGGACACCTCGAGGCCTTGTTTACGAAGATAGCATGACGTCGTTGTAGCAGCCTTCTGATGTTGAAGATGAAGATGGCAATATCACTTTGTGCGTGTGCGCCAGTAATACAATGATTATTATCATTTTCATTATCAGGAGCACGTGAATGAAAACGAAATTTTTGAAGTTGCATCCGATGATGTATGCGGGCGCGTTGAAGTTGTGCGATGTATCGATGAATATTTGCGATGCAATGAAGAAGATGTTGATTTGCCGACCACTTCGAGCTCTGAACCATACAGTATACATTACGGTGGCGCGATTTCGCACACCTAAAATTAGGCAAAATTTATCTGACCCTGCACTGACGGCTTCTCCAGAGTACAAACACTTGTTATTTCCCTGGCGCAGTGAACTAACTAATTCAAAAATGATGGAAGTTGTCATCACAAAATTTCGTTGCCGCGTTAGCTCCCTCAATTTTTACTTGCATAGATCAGACATATTTAATTCCCCTATGTGCATTTACTGTAATCAAGAGGAAACGATCAGTCATTTTTTATTACATTGTCGCCGTTTCGATTTATTCAGGCAAAGCATACTAGCACCACCTCTTCAAAGACTGGGCTTGCAACTATCACAACCTGATCTTCTTTCATTTGGAGCCTCTACACTGGGTTTCAGCCACAGGGATGTTTTATTCGCCGTTCAAGAATACATCACTGCGACTAAACGATTTTCTTGCTAAATTGCTGTCTCACTATTTTTCTTCTTTTTTTTCTGCAAACTTGATATCGGTATTTCAAATCAAAATTAAGTTACAAAAAAAGTTTGTAGGAATGACGCAATGCTGAAAGTTTAGGGCAAATTCACCTTATAATCGGCCAATCCCCTTCTTTGGGTACGAGCCATTTGCACAGGGGAACAACAACAACAACAACAACCATGACGACAGTGACCAGTGTCGAGACGAATGACTGCTGCAATATCACGGACATCTTCAACAAAGACTGCAGAAACAAAAGCCCAAAGCGCGCTCGTACACCAACAAGAGGCGACCATGATAAGTTTGATAAAAAATTTCCCAGCGACAATCCTCCGTTATTGCTAGAGGCATTTCCGGACCTTGGGAGCATGAGTCCTTTTATGGTATTGTGCAAAACTATTTCTCCAGAATATATTGATTCACTGGCTGAATTGGCAGCAAGAGAAGCACCCTTAAAGGGCGAGGAGGTGGACGTCACTGAAGCGGACATCAGTCAGTTTTTCGGTCTCTTACTTTTTCGTGGCTACCACTCTGTTCCGTCAGAAGACTCGTACTTGAGCACTGCAGAAGACCTTTGCGTGTCCATAGTCACGACAGTGATGTTCCTAAATAGGTTCTGGCAGCTGAAAAGGTTGTCATGTGGCTGACAATACTGAGTTGCAAGCAGGCAAGATGGGCAGGATTCAGTCGTTTTACGATCAAATATCCAAATGTCTCCACCAATTTGGAGTGGTGGAAACCACTCCAGATCCAAGAACCTGAACAACGATTCAAGAACCTGAACAACGAGTCAATGGTGCCCTATTATGACCACCACTCATGCAAGATGTATATCCACGGTAAACTAATTTGATTTGGTTGCAAGGTCTGGATGATGTACTCATCAAACGGGTACCCCTACGCAATGGATATATATTGCGGGAAAAAAGAGAAGGATGACACGACCCCTCTTGGGCTCAGGGTAGTTAGCAACATGGTTTCGGTCCTCCAAGCCCCTGAACGCTTGAAATCTATTTCCAAAACCTCTTCACTTCGCACGGCCTCTTGACGAAACTCACTGACCAGGGGATTCGAGTGACAGGGACTGCGCGAGGTACAACAACCAGTGGATGTACACTGAAGAGCCTCCGAGACGTTGGAAAGAAAGAATGAGGATCTTCTTACTAGAAGTGTGAAGGGGTGGTCTACACATTCAGGTGGAACGACAGTGCTGTCGTCAACGTTTCTTCGAACCACCTCAGCCATGAGCCTGTTGGAAGCGCGCAACGCTGCACACGACGCTCGAACAAGAAAGAGGAGGTTCCTCAACCTCATTATTCAAGAAATACAATGAGGGCATGGGGGGAATAGATGTGATGGATTGGCTCCTTGGAGCTATCGACCAAAACTTCAACTCAAGAAATGGTGGTGGCACTTTTTAAGCAATGGTCTCAACAAGTCTGTCGTCGCAGGATACTCGGCTCCTTCACTGCGAACTTCACAAGGGAACCAATGCCACCATGACACATATTTAACTTTATGTCACCATGTCATTGCTGCAGCTCAAGCAGAAACTAACTCGGGTTCATCCGAGGCGTGAGTACAGGAAAACTGATGGTCACTACATCAGCTCAGCGTCTCAGGGTTGATGCGCTGAGTGCAAAAAGAATACAACAAAGCAGCACTCCAACAGGGCAAGAAACGGCTGCATAAGAACTGCTTTGCTGTGTACCATGACTTGGGAAT